ATGGTGAAGTGGAGGGAGAGTGACTACCCTTAAGAGCCAATGTGTTTTCTTCAGGAGGTTTCTTCAGTCATTTATCTGAAGGGATGAGCCCATTTCTAGATTGGGGGGAGGGGCCTCTGGTGGTGCACCCAGTCACTCTGGCGGATCCCGGAAGAGTCCCTCCCCCCATCGCCTTGTCTGCCATTTGTAGCCATCAGGATGGAGGGGAGAAGCAGATGATAGTGCAAGGATGGGGGATGAACCGGACTATTTACCTGATCTGATGTGGCCCTCAGTTTCCCTGTTTGTAAAATGGGAATTACATTTTGTGGGGGAGAAAATAGCTTTGTTACCCACTAACATCTGTGTCTTCACTTTTCCTTCTACGTAAATTCAACCAATATTTGCATTCTTACTGCGTAAGCCCGTGCAAATTTCAGCTGTGAAGAAGGCAGATGAGGTCCCTGCCTTTTGGAGTTCCTCTGGTGGTGTAGTGGTTAAGGCATTCGGCTTCTAACCAGAAGGTTGGCAGTTTGAACTCATCAACTACTCTGTGGAAGAAAGATGAAGCAGTCTGCTTCTGTAAAGATTTACAGCCTTGGAAACCCAATAGAGGTTGCTATGAGTCGGAATCAACCGATGGCAGTGAGTTGGTTTGTTGGTTGATTCTACCCAGGGGTCAGCACATTAAGGGCCTCAGGCTGAATCCAATCTATCACTTATTTTTGTAAATAACGTTTTATTGGATTGCCTATTTGTGGACGAATTATCTCTGGCCACTTTCATGCTGAAAATGGCAGAGTTGAGTAGTTATGACAGAATATGTGGCCCATAATCCCCAACATATTTACTATCTGTCCCTTTACAGAAAAAGTTTTCTGGCCCCTGCTCTGATGGGACAGGAGTAAATAAGAGAATCCTTAATGGTGGTAAATACAATGAAGAAACAGGGTAATGGGATGGAGTGATTGCGGTTGAGGGGCTGCTTCTAGGTGGTTAGGGAAGGCTTTGTGTGGAAGCCAAGTGTGAATGGTATGAATCTCCAAGAAGAGCGGTCTGTGCAGAGGGACAGCAAAGGCCCTGAGGTAAGTAAGAGCTTGAAAGACTAGAAGAAGGTTAAAGAAGCTGGTGCTTTGGGAGGGGAGGAGGAGACCCAGGCAAGACTCTGACAAGGGGTAAAATGCTTAGATTTTATTTCATGGGCAATGGGAAGTTTTGGAGGGTGTTGAGGGTGGTGGTGGGGAGAATGGCATGTTCCAATTTGATTTTTCGTAAACCTCTCTGGCTGCAGCGTGAAGGGACTCTCCAGGACGGCTGGGAGGTCAGGGAGGAGGCTGCTGGCTGGAACTGTCTTAGAGAATGATGATGGCCAACTGGGTTGGGGTGGCAGCAGAGAGGATAATCAGAAAGACTTGGTTGTATTTCAGAGGAAAATTCACAGGAGTTGTTCATGATTTCCATGTGAGAGGAATTAAAGACGGTATCTGGCTCTTCGGTCTGAATAACTTGGGAGCAGACAAGTTGGGCTAGAAGCCCAGTGTGTGGGCTTTTTTTTTTTTTCTTTTAAATGTGCCTTAGCCCTTGTCCCAACCTTTGGCTGACCAAGGCTAATCTAAGAGTTATTTTCTTTGTGACCAAAGAAGATCCCCCAGAGCGGAAGTGCCCAATAAATGCAGCTGCTCTCCTTTCAGTAGGGGCCCTCTAAAAGTTGGCCCTGTGAGTACCCCTTTTTTCCAAGGTAGGTTCCATGGGTTTATGGGGGTTAAACTGCACTCTGGTGAAACTGTTTTCTACCTGCCGCCCTCTTTCTGTCTTGTCTCCTTAGTCCAGTTCCCTCTGGCCAACCTTGGGGGTCACCGTTTTTTGCTCAGTCTCCGATTCATGGTTCCTGCTGCTTTCTGAGTCTATGATCTTGGGTAAGGGGCCTCTGGGTCAGAGTTCTTTGTTATAAAAACCCAAGGCCATGGGCAATGGGGTCTTGATACCTCCCTGTATGGTTGTTAAGGATTAAATAACTCCTCCTAAGGGCGTAGA